GATGGCAGGCTCCCTTTCCAATGTACCCGGTGAATAATTATGACTTTGCTCTTGGGAACTTTTCCAACCTTCGTCAGGGGCGTAGTTAGACGGGTGGTTCAAAGAAAAGACAGCAGGCTCCCTTTCCAATGTACCCGATGTATCCCATGAAAAAGTCTGAATTTGCTCTTGGGAGTATAAGCTTTCGATTGAATGGGAACTTTTCCGACCTTCGTCAGTGGCGTAGTTAGACGGGTGGTTCAAAGAAAAGACAGCAGGCTCCCTTTCCAATGTACCCGATAAAGAATGAATTTGCTCTTGGGAGTTTAAGCTTTGGGAACTTTTCCAACCTTCGTCAGAGGCGTAGTTAGAGAGGGTGTTCCCAGGCTCTCTTTCAAATGCATGCGATGGGGCGTTGAACGAGTGGTTTATCATTCCCTTGTATACAGAACCGCCAAATTCCTTCACGACATAATATTCGAGATACTCTTCCTCAACGGCTCTTTTGACTGCTTCCTTCATCCCCTCACATGGAAAATTTTGAACCTTTTTTTTCACGCCTTTTTCAAGGATGTGTTCCAAAGCTGACTCACCAAGGTACTGGAAGGTATCCTCAAAAACCGTCTTGCCTACGTCACGTCCACCACTAGAAATCAACGAGAGACCTGCAGATTTTGCCGTGTTGTTTAACGTAGCCTTGGTATTTGCAGAAAACACTTCGTTGACTGTTTGCTCAATCCCTCCTTCTGCCAGACACTTTGCAACTTGCTTACCCACCAATTTCTTCCCATCTGTCTTCGCTTTTTCTTTAGCAGCTCGAATAAGAGCCTTTTTTCCACTTTCTTGGGCAAAACCCTTCCAAGCGCTCGACATACCGGCAGTTCCAATTTCTAAAACCCCACTAACTACGTTTACCTTTGCATCAGCATAATTACCATCACAGCAATCCCTCGCCGCTTGAGCGAAATCTACTACAGACCCTAATCCAGGCTTCACTCTATTTAAAAATAGTTTTGCAGCAAGCTCTCCAGTCAACTTTGATCCATATACAATCCACGATTCGTCTGCCATTTTTCTTTAAGGAAAAAAATTAAAGGTAAATAGTCAGAAATACTCTGGAATGGCGACGGTTAAGTGGCTGAATGGGGTGGAAAACTGGATGGTTCTGGAAATGGGTTTTAGATATCCTGTGAGCTGCATACCGGTCTTAACCAAAAAGAAAACTCACGGGTCAGTTGAATACTGGGAGCACCATTTTTAATGATGCCATCAATGTACCGGGGTAGGCTCGGGACACGCCTGCCTCATCCGCGTCTAGATGTTACTTGTTAATATTGGCTCATTTTAAGGGCAGTAATTTACTGAGGGTTTTCGTCTACCTTAGTAATTGTGTTACTTATTTTCGCCGGAACTTGATCAGTTTCGCGCAAATGGAACGGACGTATTTCGTAAGACTTCTTTGGGCGATTTGCCCAAAAATGTTTGTTGAATGGACCTAAAGTTTGCGAAAAATTGTCAAAGTTCTGATCTGCATTGGCAGAAATGATTTTCATTTTTCGCAACAATAGTTTCCAGAGAAACTCAACCAAAAGATATTATTGCAAAAATACAATTAAAACAGTTTTACATGCTTTTCGCTCAGGCCATAAAACCGGGCGGAAAAGCTCTGTCCGTAATTTACAGTACATACCTCGGACTTGGCTTATATGACGTATGTATTCAAAGTTTGATTATGTGATGGTTCAGTGATTCTTTCTTATTTATAGAACCTTGTGCGCTGAGCCAAAAGACAGATGCCATAAGTAATTGCTCATTACTATATTCACGAAAACTTTACCTTGCTTATCACTTTGATCGCTCTCAAAAAAACAAATCATAGATCGCTTTTAACCAGGGAAATTAAACAAAAAAATCGAATGTCAA